ATATATATATGCATAGCTACAGCAATTACTTAACTACCACGGCTCAAATGAACGTATATCAACAAGAGCGGTCCCCGCATCGCGCCCTGTGCGACCCCGTCATTTGTTGGTACGCAGTGAAATGAAAAAATATGAGCCAGGGGACCTTCCATATCATATTCTAGTTGACGTTCCAATATACCGAGAAATATTCATCAGGGTATGATAGGAATATTGATTAGTTTTAATATCGCAAGAGGGTTTTCTAAAGAACTTACATCTCCGTAAAGTGCAATCGGTGCAATTGGTTCTAGAAATAGTGACTGCGACAAGTAGACTAGGAAATAGAAATAAATAATTTCACTATTAAGTAGTGGTAACTACAAAGTCAGATGTTGTTCATTCCAACTGCAAACGCAATTAGTTGAAATTTAGGACAGTTGAAAACTGGTACGCTCGGCTTCTTTGAATAAGCGTTGTTTGCAAAATATTATGAATATAAAGTTTATCCCTTATGTTATCATTAAAGTTCTATATTATACTGTAACCTTGTAACGATCCAATTCTACACAGTCGACACGGTCGACTAAGAAGAACGAGCATTAAATGCCAACCTTTGTTTTGTAAATACTGAAAGGCAAAGTATATATATTTAATTTCCATAAGCTACAAGCCTTGAAATCCTCTTCGAAATTCTGAGTAAAGATCTGCAGAATTCATAGTTATCAGAAAAGCTATTAAGGTAAACCAAAAAGGACGGACTAAAAGTGAAATAAGCCTATTAACAAAACTTCCCCAGTTAAATATTCCCAGCAGTTGTGCAAGTTTAATGTAATATCTCCGCTGGCACAGATTTTTATAACCAGTTGGGAAATCTTGAATCACGCTTTTGTTCTTTAAAAATTGGCTAAAGTAATACAAGTCTAAGTGAATTAAGTGTTAAGTTTTTTTATTTATATATTTTTTTATTCGGTAATCACCTTGTTTCAAAATTGTAGAAAAACGAGCACCAACTAATATGTATTGGTTGTTAGCGTTTTCTATTATTGCAACTGATCTCTTTGATCTTTCCCGACGTTGTGTAAGTGAAATATTAATGGAGTCAAAATGAAGCAGAGTTGAAAATTTGCAGAGTAATCCAGTTATTTACCTGAGTCGTCGCTTAAAGGGAGACAATTTTAGCACAAGCTTATTAGTAGCTTAATAAATTATATCAATCGGTTACTGCGAAGGCCTTCTGTGATAACATCATTACGGAGCGTATAATACTGAAAGCGGTTCACTAATTGACGTAACGAGAATATGCCTTGGTAGCGCATGCTCGTTTTCACCATTTTAACTGATGCCGTAAGGGAGGATGCACCCGGGCTGCCGATTTCAAGCGAGATCGTTCATTGGAAGTGGGTTAAATTATCCTTATCAATTTGAGATGACATAAACTTTGCTGTAACTTTATTAAAATGATTTGAAAATAGGTAGAATTTTATTTTTTCTTATTGATTCAACGACTTCGCATTTATTTTCTACTTGTATTTGGAAGAGTTATATATTTCGTGAGTTACCTGTGAGAATTATTTAATAATTATCTTCAATGAATCCGAAATAATTCCAACATCGAGTGAAATGTTAATTAAAAGTTACAGAATCAATTAAAAACAAATCTTACAGTGAATTAAAGCAAACAACTGAGTTTAGAACAAAAAATCGATTGCTGCTGAAGAATTAGAAAGAAAAAAGTGGATAAAACTCTGCTCCAAGTGATTCAATTTGTAGCTTTTATTTTTAAACTTGTTTCCTCCACTGTCTTTCCTATTGTTACTTTATCTTTTCAGTTAATGTTATTAGGCGCGTTCATCAGTTGTCTATCCTGCTTATCTATGGTGGCGATAGACTTTTAAAGCACATTAAAGATAGAGAAGATAAAAATTTATTTACTTTTATTTTTTGAATATATTAATGTATAGTGGCACAAAAAAATCAAATTCTTTAAACATAATTTCCAGTGAGTGTAGTACAATATAATTGTGTTGATGTCTCTAGAATTACATATTACTGATATTTATTGAAATATTAATTATGTAAAATTAAAAACATTATGATTCATTACCTTACCCTCCGGCGTCCATAACACAGCACCCGCTGTTCCGGATCATTAAAATAGAATTTCTTACAATGAAAATATTTTAATATATTTTTTACGAACTGTTTAAAAGGGTTTGACGAACAAGAGTATTAGTTTAATGACTGTATATAATTACTCCTAAGCTATTTATATTTTGATGTACGTTATTACAATTCCACAATATAATAATGTAGGTACTCCACGTTCATCTTGCTCTTACTATTAACATATTTCTAACAAATAATCAAACCTTTAGTTTACAATGAAATAAAAAAAATGTTTTAAGTGTTAATAGTTTCTGGTACTAAGCATGTATTTATTATTTTGGCATAATTTACGTGCATTTGCAAAAATAGTATTGTATCTATTTTTTTATATTAATGAGCATTTCGAGTATAAGCTATTACAAGATAATGACTTCATATTTTTTGTTCATGAAACGTTTTACCTTTGTTTTAGTATTGCCTATCTAAACAAAAGTATTCCCTAATGGTGGATAAGTTATATTTTTACAAATAATGAAAACAAAGAAGAAAGATAAAAAGAATAAACTTACAAATCCATTAGTTCTAAAACTGTTTGAACCACAAAAAACTAAACCGATATTGATACAATGACCCCATTTATCCAATATCCTATCACCGCGGGAAGTAGACCCACCTTACATCGTACGATACGATATTGGTAGAAAGATAAGCCTTTAATTAGTTTCCGATTTCTGTTAGCGGTTGATAAACTATAAATATTCATATAATTTGCTTTAAAAAATGCTACTCTCTGTAATGTTTAAATTGTTTCATCTTTTAAGCAATAGCAAATAATTCAGTAACACATGTTTATTTTTAAATCTAATATCCTTTTCGTCAGCCAACTATCTTATCGTATAGCATAATATAAAAAGGCTTTGGCGAGGAACAGCTGCGCACGCGGTGATCTTAGATGTGTGAGACAATGACGTGTTTATGTAAGTTACAGATGTTACACTGATTTATACCATTTGGTATAGGATCGTTTTTTTAATATTAAAATTCAATACAGCTGTGTTCAACTGTTCTAAAGAAATACATGGAAATAATGAGTTATGTATTTTCAATCCCCCATGACTATGGCTGCTGCTAAGTATACGAAACTTCGGGCCGTATTTAAAATAAGTTTAACTTATACATTTTGTATTTTCAGCCATATTAACAATAAATGCGATATTTTTATTTTGTAATTAATTGACCTTGCGAACTCGATTTGTTTGTGTATAAAGTAAGTTTAAGTATTAATTCTCAAAATTTGTGTTCATATGAGAGAACATTGACCTTTTGAGCAGTTCCCAGTAAGTGAATGCATTCTCGAGACAACAAGACAGCTGCACATCGTCCATCGTCAGCTAGTTTAAACAAACATTTTGGAAAGCGCCATCTATAAGTAACACTTGCTTTTGTGTTTACATCACAATCGGTTTATATTAGTCCTGAGTTGTAAACATCCTGGATAAGCGATACAATTCAGTTTATTTACTTTCCGGGTGGTTTAAGACTTCTAAGTAAGGATATTGTTTTATTGCCTATGTCGGTACCGTTTTGCCGTCCTTTGCTTGAGGGGTTTCTATTCATAAGTGTCCAATCGCGGATGTTGATTAGTTTTTGAATATTTTTGACCTGTAATAAACCTGTAAATTTTACAGTACAAAAGTCTTTATTATTTGTGATGATATCTGACGTAAGGACAATAACTGCTCGTCTCGGAAGCTTACAAAAACATCAAAGCTCCATCAGAGTTAGTCTAACCATAGAAACTCATCAATTTATTTGAAACAGACAAATCACACTTGTCCTCTCCGAATGCAAACGACCACGTTAAGCTATTTTCTCTTTTTGCAGTTGGCGCAAAGGAAAAATCGGGGCTATTTTTGATAGTGAGCAGTGAACCGCGCGGTATTGTTCAGTTTTTCGTATTCGAATTCAATTTTTCCTTAAATTCTGATTTTTCGTGCTGTCAGGGTTTTGCCGATATAAAACCATCTATGAAAGAAATTTAATCCGGTGGCCGATTCTGAGCGGGTTCTACGAAAGGCCTAACCTTTCTAAAAATGAATTACCAAGTAATTGGACTAGTACTTGGACTGATTCACTCGGTAAAACTTTAAAACAAAAATGGATCGATTGTCTAAGCTATGATTATTTTGAAATAGATGGAAATTATTCAGGCACTTAGGAGGGGATGATCGCGTAACATTTTAGTCAACGAGAAGGAAAACTAATTTAAAAGTTGAAAATATACAGAACAAAAGCGCTAAATCCCAAAGTGTGACGAGAGCATCCGTATAGATTGCAGAAAGTTGTAACAGTATCAGTTTAAACTTTTTATTTGCCTCAGAACTGTTATTCTTCATAAACCGTTCCCGGGGCGACGTTAATTCAGAGGTGGCGACACCTGCGGACGCCTCCGGAACTTCTGTCGTAAAGGGGCGAATGTCAAGAAGGAAGGCTTAAGTTTATGTTTAATCGAATGTCATATCGTATATATTTAACTTTTGAATAATATATGTATACCAAAATCCGTATATTTTACAAAGTTGAAAATCAACAAATAACTTTTAGTAACGCGTGTACTGGGTATAGTACATTTTGTTTTTATTATTATATTTGACCTTTTTAAAATATATCCAGCTGTCTTAGTTAACTTTGCCCTCTCTACATATACGTTTATATATCTAAAGAAGACTTTAAAACAACCGTACCTTAATTTGATATTTCTATTTCAATAACAGTTTACACAAAAAAACATAATGAATTGCTACTGCTTAAAGACTAAAGTAAAGACTTTAATTATGACTTAAAACTCTAAATAAAAAAGGACACCTTAAACTTTAAAGCTTTTTAAGCTTTAGGAGCTATTAAACACTTATCTAATTAGGTCTGTTTTCGTGACCATCAGTGGCCGGTTTAATTTTACGTTTCGGACCCTTCATCGTCGTTGTAGTTGGTGGAGGCGGTGTTGTAGTAGTAGTTGTTGTTGTAGTTGTCGTAGTTGTCGTTGTTGGTGTTGTTGTTGATGTTGTTGTCGTTGTCGTAGGTGGGGGAGGAGGAGGTGTCGTAGGTGCAAGTGTTGAAGGCAGTTGTGTAGGTGGCGAAGTAAGCGACTGTGTAGTTGCTTCTGTCGTTGTAGTTGTGGTCGGGGGATCCGGAGCGGCAACTGGTTCTGGAGCTGTTGTTGTCGTCGTGGTTGTTGTTGTTGTTGTTGTAGGCGCAGGTAACGCTGCTGTTGTTGGTGGTATCGTCGGTTCTGTAGTCGTTAGCTTTGTTGTTTTAGGGGATGGTTTGTATATCAGTTTCTTAGCGGGTTTAGGTGTACCGCCTAGGATGACCTTCATGATGCTTAACGGCATCCAGTGACCGGGCATATCCGCTTCCACTGGGTTCGCAATGTAGACTAAAGTGTCGTTTTCTGGATTTGGCCATCGTCCGCTCACCGTCTTCAGGATTATACACAATACAAAAATTCTCGATGACACTGAAATAAAAAATCCTTGCAATAACTATTTACATTTAAAACGAATATTGCTACTGTTCTAACGAGGTTTCTTAGTTAAATTATTAATGTAAAAAGTACTCACTTTGTTCGGGATATTCTCATAAAAAAATACCATCTTTTAGTGTTTGACACTTGTACATTCTGACACGAATGCAAAAAGTGAAATTTTAATTAAAATAATGCAATTCCCTTGTGAAATTAAGCGACGCGTTATAAAACTTTGCTATTCCAATAATTCTAGTCAAGTCGAGTAACGCATTATTTTCAATTGTGATTTATTGGCTACCGACATATTTATTGTCCAAGAAATCACCTGTGATTTATTTCCTGTAATATATTTACTCTGTACTGGCACTTCGCCCACTTTGGTCTTATTTCATGCCCACACATAATAATACAACGCCTACATTTAATATGACCTTAACAATATTTGGTTTAAATGCATTTCCGGGTGGTATTGTGTCACTCGCTTTAGTAATCGGTCTCGTTGGTAGGTATAATGGTAGCAATATATGGAAATAATCAATGGGTTCGATCTCCACCGGGTTAACATGTTTATAATTTAGTTTATAACTCTGAAAGATGTTATGAAAATAAGGATACCTATGAATGGTTGGTAGAAATATCGAAATTCCGTCCGCGTCATAGATGAAAAAGCCAAATATATAGCGCACCTTGGTTAGATGGTATATACATAGCTGAGGGTATTTCGTGTACCATCAAGTGAAAGCCAAGTTTGTCTATCTTCAATTATATAAAAAAAATATCACAATAACTACTCTACGCCGAGATTTAACTTAAACTAGAAAAAAATATTAGGTTTTTTAAACCTTATATTATTATTATTTAAATAAAACACTTTAACGGTTAAAACGCGATATATTAGTTAAACTTATTTGAAAATGATTTTTAACTTCGGCCCGACGTTTCGGATGCTTTGCAGGAGCTCTCCCTCCCATTTTCAAATAAGTTTAACTAATATATCGCGTTTTAAACCGTTAAAGTGTTTTATTTAAATGTGTACTACTCGCGTAAACAGACAGTACTTATTTTATTATTATTTTTTTGTAAACGTATCCGCCCTAATCATGCTTGTTTGAAGCTAGTGACAATTCGAAGTTCCACTTAATAATAAACATTCAACACTCGTACTCAAGACATCTACTATTGAGGACAGCTTGTTAGCTTTGTCATAACAGACACAAATAATCGCCTTACAATTAATATGTAAATTCAACCTCAGCACGTCCGATCTGACATAAGCTGCTTTCAAAGGTATTATGCTGGTAACTAGCATGTAACGGAACCAAAATATAATTTTAGAATTAATTATGTTCAATGTTAGCCGCGACAGCTGCTAAACGTAATTGCGCAGTTATTTGTGAAGTGGCTAATTTTGTGATATTTCGCATTTCTATATAATAATTGCAATTCTGTTTTTATTTTTGAATTCAAACTAAAATAACCGTTTTAAATGTGATACATTGTTGGCTATTTACCGAAAGAAAAGTCCTATTTGACCATAGTTGGTAAGCTTAAGTCTCGATAACCAAAATGATGATGTGTCTGGCAATTATAATTCAAGTCTAAGACCGATTTAAGCTCCTGGAATTTTTTTTTCAGTGGCAGAGACTGAATTTAAAAGGACTATTTCGTTTAAAAAAGATGATTGCTATCTTATATAAGCTACTTAAAGATTGATGTATATTTTCAGTAAATAGTCAAGTATGTCCGTTTGTATAGCTTTAATTACAGTTTGAAGTTAGTGCAGTCGTTAAAAGTTTCTAACTGCGTTCCGCACTAACGATTCCATGTTTCGCAAAAGGATGATAATTCTTTCCTTTTGATGTTTATTTATTATTTTTTAAAGTTTTTCACAAGAATGTCTTTCGATTACTATTACTTTCTTTACGAGTAGATTCTTCTTATTCTTAATTCTTTATACCAGTTTTATGTTATTTTAAAGTTTTTAAAATATTTCGTTTCACTGTAAAATAATATAAAAAAATTAACTTAATCAAATTGTTTACCCATGCACTGAAGACAAAATACTCTGTTGATTTTATTAAACGTTTAATATACATATTCCAAACTTAATCCACCTACATTGAAAAGATTACCTATATTATCAAATTAAACTTATAGATACAGCGTATCCTTGCGAGTCTAGATTTTCTCTCCTTTATTAAATTGATACCCGTAAATAGTGTATTAATTAACGCATCTCGATACAGCCATCTTTTAATAAAAAGCGAAGTGAAATATGAGAAATATTCCATTAAAAGATTATTCTCGGTCTGTCATTGTTTTGTCCTCACAGAGAAGATTTAATAAGGATGAACTTTTGAACTTTCGTACAACTGTCACGTTTTATTTGCCCAAAACGATTTACTTTTAAGTGTTTTTGCTACTTTTACTTCATATATTTTTGAATTACATGTATTGATTAATAAATATGATTATTAAGAAACACCAGAGAAAAAACTAACCGTATATAAGTATTTTTGTTGATCATTCAGAATAGAATAAAATAGTATAGAATAGTTAGAATATACAAACAAATTTTCATCGTACTGGTTTGGGGTCTAAAAATCGATAATTAAGACGCTGTTCAACTATAGACAAAATGCCCATACTTTACTTAATCATTTTTTTTAAATATAAACACACCAAGAATGTTTATACATATAAGTACCTACTACAATTAAAAGTGTAGAAAGCACCAATCAACTTTGATTCTTCGTTCGCAGTCTGAACTAAGTAGGCAGGGCTACATAGGGATTACCGAGAAAATGCATAATTACTGCTTTGCATTTCCATTATATAGAAAATATAACGAGGTCGATGGTCCGGCTATGAAAGCCGACGTATGAGCAGATATTTCATATTAAATTTCCATAATATCCAATGACATTCCGCGAGCGATAATATTTTATCTCCGCGATATAAAAGTTTAAAGCCCGAACAACTAGAGGCATTTAATAATGAAGGCGTTTTTGTAATATTCAAATTATTGTGATATTGTTTGACCTAGCCGTGGGTTCCAATCATCAGTTTGGCTGCTACTCAAGTCTTGCCTTTTGAGTATATCGATAATCATCACATATGGATCCTACACAAGTCGATAACACCGACAACTTGACATAGTATTTACATCTGACATCGCTATTATATCGATAAAGAATAAAACTTATTATCGGCATAAGATAAGTCAACAGTTGGGAGGCGATGTTATAACCGACTGCGTCAGAGATTTAGGTTTTCCGAGGAAATTTTTTGACATTTTTGTGACTGTCAATAAGCATTGCGATGTGTTGCAGTTGTTTTTTGTCTCTTTTAACTGCGCCAGCTATAGAAATCACAGATGCATATTATATAATTGTGAATAGACAAGTTTGAAGAATAAAGGTAGATAATATACTGTCATTTAGTTGGTGTCGTCGGATACTGCGGGACATTTAAAAGTGGCTCGTGGCTTTCAATAAGCCAAAGAGTACCTTTCACAAATGCACCGCGATTTCGGCCCAACCACCGCGTTTGCACAGCATTCAACTTTTGAATGAATGTCTTTGATCTCAAACAAGATACGCTCTCGCTGTTTATTGAACGTCCTATTCCCCATAGTGAGTTATCGCGACGATCTTAATTTGTTGGAATACATTGAATCTCTGGTAGATAACAGGCTTATAAACATGGCGTTTTATACATTCGACTGCCTCAATGGACACGATACAAATCGTGTTTACAATAATAGGGCGTTTTAAATGCAAATCAGTTTTGTCAAAAGTCTCGTATTATTGTAGTCGTACACGTCTCGTTGAGTCGGAAGTAAATTATTATATTGAGGTACATACCAATGAGTGCCTCATATTTATGCGAGTGACAATTCGTAGCGAAGTTTAAGTTAGGATACACAGTAGCACAGGTATACAGGAAGCTGTTAGACGTCTTTTATCCTTTCAAAAAATTAAATAATGCTTGGTTTAAGGTAAGTATGTAACTCTACTACTACGACTATCGATATTTATGGATCAATCAATCAACGGGTTCAATATGTATCAAAATCTGGATATAAATTCCTTCTGGATTACAAACCGCAGTCCACAGGTAAAAACTAACTGGGTTTCCAAATATCCAGAGCCAAAATAAGTCGACACCGCATCTTATCGAGTTGTCATATGGGTGATATCACCTTCCAAATAGTGAAGCTCGTGCTTGTCTGTCCTGCTCTATCACAAAAAATATTTAGCATTTGGTAAATCAACGTTTCTAAAAAATCTCCAAAAGAAAGTGTAGTTTTTATTCTAGTAATATTTTCGCTCCTTATAAAAGTAAAATATCGAACATCTTCAATCAAAACAAACAATGACGTATCCCCAAATAACGTGGACCCCTGCATCTTTATCGCAAGAGCGGAGAGTCTCATCTAGAAGAGAGTCACGCAATTACCCTCTCCACTAATATGACGTGCTGTGACAATAAGGGCGAAGTTGGCTCAAAGGCGCGGACAGTATTTCAAATGGCATTTGGATCCCACCGCCCACCTGTGACGCGTAAAGAGAAGTTATGTATTCAATTTAGTTCTGAAGCATATTTAGCATTGCGTCAGTAATGAATAGACGCTGCATTTGATGCGAAGGGACAAGGCGGGATGAATATTTCTCGATATTAAAGTTTCAAAGGAGCTCTTTATGAGGCGACTTCTTTGGAGACCTGGAAAAATTAATTTTCTATTTACCTTCTACATTATATGCTTCTGAACGGCGAGTTATACAGCTGGTTGCAGTATTTTTCAATTATTGCTTCGCAAACTAATTTTCATATTTTCGTAGTAATAAAACGCCACGGGGATACGAAACAATATCCCTACATGTATAATGAGAGACGCATGCTGAGGATAAAACAAAATTTACCGACATACTTTCCCGAATTGACCAATTGAAATGGTGGTCAGGTACGCTGTAAGACAAGCCAAGTGGAGCAAACGAGAAATCTTCTGGTATACAAAAGACGGTGGCAGAAAAAGGGGACGCCCGACAGGGGATGGGAAGATGACTATTGCCCAGAATTAGGTCCTTAATGGACCAAGGAGGCAGCGGATTAAGTGCAATGGAAGCAGTTGAAGGAGGCTTAGTCAAGA